GGACGCTCTGATCCTGTGCTTGCAAGTGATTCAGGAAACGAGCAATGACGAATTATGGTAATCAAATTAACATGTTTGTATTGAGTCTAGCTGGGATGGAAATAACTTTAGAGGCATGAGGTAGAGTCTCCAGGTCAGAGCACATTCCAGGGTACACCCTGGCTCTTGTGTTCCTACACTGGTCAAAGGAACATTTGGTAGCACTTACTTCTAATGTGCTGACACAAATAGGCAGTAATGTCAAACTCTGAAGAAACTGATGCAACATTGCAGTTATCAAATGACTGTGTGCTCAGAACAACCAAACATAAAGATTAGGCTTTTAGAAACGGTTTTATAAATATTTTGTTATCCATCAGTTCAGGGATGAGGCGTACAGGACTTTGCTACGTCTTGCCCAGTATCCTCTGGAAGCAAGAGGAAGATACTTGCCTTCAGCAAAATAAATGTGTAAATATCACCTAGATTTTCACAGCTGCTCTCTTTTGCCACCTCCTGCTCATTTAGTTTGGCCACAGTATTTCTTCTCTTGGTGGCCAAGTCTCTCCTGTAAAATACAGTGTTACCAGAGACACTTGGAAAGCTTTGGAGACCTCTCCTAATGGAAAATGCTGTAAGAAATGGTTATGGTTGTGTACGTTCTCTATGATAAAATAATTGGTCACCAAAAAACATAGTTTAAAAAACTCAACAACAAAATTGTGCAATCAGAGGAAACAGCAGGTACAAAATGGAAATGGGCAATACTGAAACTGTGCTGGAACTGTGGCAAAAAGCCTTGTAGAGGTAAGACAGAAAGCTTGTCGTGCTTTGGTTAGAAATTATACACTCAGCACGGAGTTACTGATTGCAGTGTGTGTCCTGTGTTTCCCACGTGATTGGGCTACCTGATATATTGCCCTGGAAGCCTCCTGTTCTGTAGAACACCTAGAACTCCTCAGCAATTACCCAGTCCCCTGTCATTCAGAATTCAGAAGACTCTTACTTTGCAACCTTGATGTGAGCAAGTGTTCGTCAGGGGTGGGTTTTAATTACAATTTTTTTCCTACTTCAGAGTTTTTTCTTATTTATTTGCTTCCATCAGAAATTAGCTTAGGAAGGAAAAAAAAAAATATATATCTTATGGCTTCTTGCAAAAAAGAGGTGTCCTCCAGATGTTTTTCCCTAGGAGGTAACAGCTACCTGGGCAGGAGGAGGCCCATCAACTGAAATTGTAGATACTGCCCCCTCAAGGGCAGCAGCTGTTTTCTTTCTACTTTCTTTTTATGAAAGTTCTCTATATTGGCTTTGACTCTGAAAGTGTGGAAGCTGTCAAGCAGTGAGAGCAAATACCAATGCTGGGAGGTCTGGAAAATGGGGGTAAGTCCCACAAACCAGCCTGGATTTGGTGTCTTTGAACCATCCAAATCAAACACAGACTTTATGAGAGTTTCCACATTGCCGGTGGAAACTCGGGCTCTGGAATTCATAGTTTTGACACCTACTTTAGTTCAACACCACTTATTGCAATCGCTTTGCATAGTGTTTTTATAGGATGCCATACTGGTAGTGCAGAAGGAGGTGGAAAGCTGGAAGAAGGTGGTGCCTTCTCTGGATTAGTAGATCTGTGATCTCCATGGATCAGACCCAACGACAGAAATTCAGGGCCATGAGCAAGTTCAGGAACACAATTCAATGTCTGTGCATGTTGGAACATCAGAGCTTTGCAGCTGGGAAACTCAGACTTGTCTCCATTTGGGAGGACAGATTTTTGACTGTGCTGAAACTCCTTCCTTGTGTTTTAGCAAGACTCTGCGATAACCCACAAGATCTCTCTCCATTTGTGTGTATAACCGTTTTGCGCTGACTGACAGTCTGGTGGGTGAATGTTTGAAGGAAAATTTGCTGTAGCATTAAAAAAACTTGACTTTTCTGGGCCACACTAATTTATAGACAGCTTTGTAAGGCTCTGAGGATTCTTTTGAGTTAGAAGAGTTGTACCTTGGTATAGTGCAGAGGCAGATTTCCAGCAGGAAGTGCAGCCTGGAAACTGGCTGATGCCTCTGCATACCACCTC